ATTTCTTAGAATTCATATCATCAGAGCTATTGCACGCTCTACCCTCAGGTGCTTTAATAGATAATTAACATTTTAGTTTCAATCAAACATATTTTTATTCCACTTTCTGATTTGAGAACTGTATGAAACCATTTACATTTGACCCTGTAATGTAGAAAAGAAAAAGGCACAGATTGCCGAGTGAAGAAGCCTATGCTCAGCATGTAAAAGTTTTCATTTATTATCACCCAAAGCCAGCCCTTGTCTTTTTCGTTCAGTGATACTGAAAGCATGTGCCACCCAACTTCCATATCCCCCTCCTTTTTGTTCTCTTCCTGCTAAGTACACCAAAAGCACGGACCTGGAAAACAGGCCTGCGGTCGGAAAGCCCTCTGTCCCTCACTCAACAAAAACACGGCCGTTCCTCCTTTGGGTTGGGTCCTAGACCCCAATCCACATCAGACTCTGTGCATCCTCATGTAGGAATGATCGAGATCGTGAAGGACGCCACGACAATTGCCAAAATTCAGCAAAGCACTGTGGGCAACACGGGTGCATTTAAAGATGAAGTCCTGAATCACTGGCTCAAAGAAAAATGCCCTCTGGAGGAAAAGGTGAGTTCAGGTGCCTCCTCACTCTACAGGCTCCTTTACAAGTTGTCATTTATATAGCAGTAGTGTTTTTGCATTTTCAAAGGCTCTACCAGCATCCTGATGATGGTGAAGGCATTACTTGATGGGGGTGGGGGTGGGGTAAATTCTTTTCCTGCAGTGACATAGCATATCTGTGCAAAACAGGTGGGCAGTTCAGGATGCTATGAGCATTTGCCTCTCTTTTCGTTATCAGGCTTTGCATAAAATTTGTTTCTGTAAAATAATCTTTTAGCACCTTTTCCTTTTATGGCTATCTATTTTTGTTGCTCTAAAGGAGCTCTGGTGGTGTAGTGGTTAATGCATTTGGCTGATAACCAAAAGGTAAGTGGTTTAAACCCACCAGCTGCTCTGCAGAAGAAAGATGAGGTAGTCTGCTTCCATAAAGATTTACAGCCTTAGAAACCCAGTGGGGTCGCTAGGAGTTGGAATCCACTCGATGGCAGTG